ACTACTTGCAACGCCGCTTTCGGTGCAACGTCGATCTCACGCACTGCACCCTAACCGTTTCTATCCGGGTAGAACCACGCTGCGTTGACAGCGTTCAGTCTAGTTGGGTTATGATTGATAAAGTCGCAATCTGGCGGTGTCAGGAGGAACGCAGTGTTCCAGCTGTCTTGCTCTGCCAATGGCGATTGGTTACTTATCGATTTAGGAACAAATAAACCAGTGGTGGAAACGCCGCAATTGGGCTCATTCCATTCCCGTCAAACTCCCGACTGATTTCGATGATATCAACTGTACATCGCCTACCACATAGCTAAAAATATCGTTGATACCGCTTGCAATCGGTCTTTTTCTTACACCCCTCTCCGCTTGGTCTATCGTGACATCTTTAAAGACCGAAAACCTGTCTGGTTCTTCTTCATTCGTCCTTCGTCTTCGTTTTACTAGCGTGTGTCGAGTAAAGAATGTGATAGCACCGGCAACCGTGGTCTACTTGTTTGCCAGTTCTTTTATTATAGCTTTGTAAAATGCAAGGAAGTTTTCGCTTCGTTGCGCATTAAATTTTTTATTTATTTATTTATCATGCACGCAATGGTGCAAGACAATGCAAGCGGAGTTAGGCGGGTTACAAAATGAATCAACAAAAAGACATCAAAAAGCATGACGGCACAAACAACTCCATATGCCAAGAATAGGAAAGACGTGCCTGCGCACATTCCTTGAACAAGGCGTAGGGCGCATTTTGGATGTTATTTCCATTTGAGACAACCGTCCTCTTTCGGGCTGGATAAATACATGATAATAATAATCCCAAAACAGCAATATTCCACCGAGAACGCAGCCACCGCCACGTTCAAACGAGGTGCGCAGCCACACCCTCTCCATCTCCAGAAAGCTGGAATACCTCTCCAACTCTGAATTGATGTCATACGCGAGCGTGTGGCGAGAGATCAGTACCGGACTCTCAAAGGCACACCCTCCGTGCTGATCGTGCAGGTCATGTTGTGGTAGGGTTCAGTCACCCATTTCACGCTTCTCACTGGTGAGTCTTTTCATCAGGAAGAGTCGGAATTGTTCACTTTCTCAGCCAATACGACTGCTAGAAACTGCAGCTTCCAATCATTACCCTCCACAGACATTGTGGATTGCGAGTAGCGAAAGAAGGGCGACGGGGTATAAAGTTGTAAGTTCAGAAACCCAATAGCATCTCTTCAAGACCCCCCAGCTCTAATTGAGTTATTATTTGTGAATGAATCCAACTTCTTTCTGAGTATTCTTCAGCTTCTCTCTTGCTGTAGCCTAGTCATCGCTGTTCAGTTTGTTAGTATTGCTATGCCTCTCGAGGTTTTTAGATGGAATCTCGGCGCAGTTTGTCGACGGGGGGGGGGGGGCATTCGGCTTTTCATAGATGTGCCGACCGACCCATCTAGGTGGCCTTTTCTCGAGTTGACACGTTTTAGGATGGTGGCTAGACGATCTTACTCCAGCTTCACAGGCGTTCACAAGTTTTACCATGGTGAGCTTCGTAAACCGGAACTAGGGAAGCAATGTTAGTATAAAATGCTCCCCCATCGCTAAATAGCGCCTGGAATCTCTATTCAATGGAACAGCGTTTCGACAGGGTGGTCTTCTTCAGACGCCAGACTGAACCGTAAATCCGCCGTCACATGCGGATGTTAGTCAGTAGCAAATGGCAAATGGCTGTCGTTGAATAAAGATTACATATAAAAACCTCGAGAGGCATAGCAATACTAACGAAGTATTTATGAGTCTCAGATGCTTTTCACCAAATAGTGGGCACCATCCTGGATCGGTGCTAATTATTTGGCCCCATCACAAGAATATACACTAAACTATTACTGTACTATACTGTTTGGCTACCGTGTACCATTCGTTGAGAAGGAAGTGATCCGAGTGTCAGCAATTTCTGATTTGCCACTTTCGTACTATCAGCGCTCATCATGTCCAACGGTAATTTTACAGAAAACGATGTCGCTTCCCTATTTTTACTCGAGAAAAACTTGTTTGACTAGTTCAACTTGGCAGATAACAGCAGGTGTTGGTCGAATTGCGGCGACGAATCTTCCGATCAGACCACCTCCGTGTCACCCTTAAGTGACCATGTAGACTCATCAATTAACGTTTACAAAAACATTTACAACAGACCAGGAAGTCAAGGGTACTTGACACATTGCTTGTCCTTCTACTCCATTAGACCGATATTTGATCACTAGATGAGTTCTATAATAATCTCTGCGCTTTATTCCTTTGTTTTTGCTCAGAATTTGGATGTACCAGTAGCACAGTAGATGGCCATTATTGGAAATAAAATTAAGGTTCAGTAGGAGAAATGCTCAGGGTGGATAAGGCGTTCCATTAACACAGAAACTGTGACTACACTGCGTAGCAAAAGTGCCATTACAGTATCCCTGCCGACTCCAAAACCTCTGAGGACCCAAAAACGGGAAGGAGTGAGCCGCTCAGGAAAATCATATTTGTCAAAACCTATTTAGCCATGGTACGACATCGCTAGAGGTTAAGCATACGGTATCTCACGGATATAGAATGAGCACGGGGATCTATGTCTTCACTGCGTTGTAAGCACGAATATCGATCGACGAGCACGTCTTTCAAGGAAGAACTGAATAGAACGCGAGGAAACACCATCAGAAATCCTTAAACTCCTATGACCAATGAGCTGAGCATCAGAGGCAGCATCAGCAATAGCGGGTCAACTTCCTTCTTCTACAAGTGACGACCGTTGAGGATCAGGTTCCTGTATATGTCATTAGACTGCACTGTTCATTCCCTGGATCTCCTCATCGCGGCAGCCTGTATGGAGCTAATTGAAGGTGATAATATCAGGACGTGAGCTATTTCAAGCACATTATCGCGTGGCTAATCGGATTAGCATCAAAATATGCGTGCCACACCTATGTTATGCCACCCACGGTTTAATATTTCCAAATAAAAAGGTATGCGTAAGGGCAGACCGCGCCATTCTTCGAACTTCTTGTACGATCTAAGCTCAGATTGTTATACATTAATTTGAAATTTCCTCACTCAGATCTTATAAATTTCAGAATAGAAAGATGCGGCGCGACGCGACTGTGCCGCGTCATGTTCACTTGCCCGCGCCCTCTCGCGACGTGAAGATAATGAGGGCATAAAACGACGTTCCTTTAACAGTGACGACTGGTGTCGGACAATGGTGGCGACGCCAGTCCTATCCATGGGACGGTGTCGGACAATGCTGTCGACGCATACTGTCTAGTATATAGACAGACCATGCGAGCAACCAAATTCGTTCAAAGATTCTATAGGAGTTGACTGGAATCTGAAATTGACAGACAGTGGTTGGCCGGACTGGCGGGCCCGCGCCAGAGGCGTTCGGGCCGTCACTCAAAATGTCGATAACTTGTCTCGTGCGCGGTTACCTGATTCGCTTAAACACGACAATCACATTCGTTTCCCGGAGAATACCCTGGCGTCCGCGCATGCGCACGGCGCCAGAAATATGTTATAGTCACCAAAATCGCTGAAAACTTGTCTCGTGGGATAGCTTGACGCTCCTGAACACGATATCACAATCGCTTGCACAAAACTGCCTGCGCCTTACGCCAAATATCCTTAGATCATCAAGATTCCCTGAAAACTCTGTCCCTTACGGTCACCGACCCCCTCAACCAAAAATATCACGTCCACCTAACGCGTTGACGGACGATTCCTTCAAGGTGGACGACCAGCAAAGTTTGTCTTTGTTGTCGCCCAATACCGTCCCCACAGTTGCTATAGTAATGTCCAGATCTGGGCGATTGTTTCACTTATCTTTTCATAAATTAGTTCGAAACAATCATTAAAGGATCCAGGATCCACGGCACCCCTTTAATTACCTTCACCTCATTAAAAAGAAATTACACTAGAATCATTCCGAAGCCACTGCTCCCAGAGCACTCTCTTCCGTTCGCGAACCTCTACAAACGTAACTAAACCTAGGGCTCCCCTTTTCCTACCTCCTACTTTTTCCTTCCTTCCTTCTCTCTTCCCTCATCCACACTTTCCTTCCTTCAAATGCTCGAGCAGACGATGCGATAAAACTCTGGTCTCTTGCAGTGAGAGAGCTTCCGGTTGACAGAAGCAATGTAACCAGTTATCTTGCCGGATGCAGGGTCCGTTCCCGAACTCGACAACTGCCACTTTTCCACTCTATCAAATGTTGCCCAAGAAGTTCACATATATATTTATTTATTGATTTGCTGATAGAACCAGTACAATAGGATCTTCCATGTATTCCTACATTCACGTATGAAAATGATGAGACATTTTTAAATATGTAAAACATGACATCATTGCGTACATGAACGCATCACTTAGACGATTTCAGGGATATTTTCCTCCTCAGATGATTTTTAATGAGTTATGCATTCATGTGCGCTCAACACATTCATAGATACATGATATGCTGGCCTATCTGATAGAGCCATTTCTGTACGAGTCAATCTGTCGTCGGAAGTACTAGTAATACACAGTAATACATCGCTACCCTCTTATCAATGATTTCCGTCACATTAGCACATTTAATCTCTGAGGTGGGGGTAAATGTGCACAAATGTGACAAAACATCACGTCACCATTCATTAGAACAACCTATGAGAATGGTAAAATATATATATAATATGTATATAAAATATCTGACAAGGAAAATTATTATGACATAATATTTGCGATTCTAGTGCATATAGAACATTTAGAAACATAAATGCTCTGTTTCTCTACAATAGTAACAACATATGTAAAACCAATTTGTAGCAATCAATGGCGACAATCGGAACAAAAAACATGAGGCACGCGTAATCGGTATTGAATCGGTGAAAGAATAAAGAAAAATAGCTCGAATCGAGATACAACACGATGACCCAATTGAGATGCGACCACTTGTCACAGTATCGCAGTATTTCTGTATAGCGATTGATGCTACTACACAGTTGAGACGCGACGCGGTTTTAGATCGTTCGCGTCCATGTCGGGTGCATAGTCCGACCGTACTGCAATTGGTAATAACGTCAGTTGCAAAAGATACTATTAAGTGCTATTAAGTGGCAGTTATACCTAGTTCGCTGCCAATGATGAGGCGTGTCAGGCAGTATGAATGCGCCAAACTCGTTCTCTGCCAGTTGTTGAAGCAGATGTGCGACAATAATTTCAAGGAAACGAGTGATGCGTACGATATGATACAGTCCTGTCACATGCTCGCTTCAAGCAGAATGGGTTTAGCACTGCGCCAAACTCACCCCGCCTGACACGCCCCTTCGTTTACAGCGAACTAGATTATGGCCCAACCCAGCAATTCTCTAATTAGGCACAGCTCTCACTTGAATGTCGTTGATGGTCTCGTAAAACCGTTGCATAAGGTTCGGGGTGTTCTTCATAGTCGGTACGTCCCAGGTTTCATGAAGTCCCTTCTAGAACAGTAATCAGAAATAGTATAAATTGTAAGAGAAAACAGGTTTGATAAGATATGTGACAGGATTATCGTAATATGTCGCGATCGTGGGCGTGGCGAGCGAGGCTGCTCTCACAGGACGAGTTGCCCTGACTGCCCGTTTGGTCTCAAATGTCAAAGGAACTAGAAAGTTCGCAATCAGCATGGGGTCTTGTCTGCGCTCGAGTTCACATAAGATTTAATGCTACAAGCGACAAGCTGCTACACACTGATGGTTTACCGCACATCGCTGCACGGTGCATCGCGCGCGACGACGCGACAAATTACGATTGTCCTGTCCGTCTCCCAATCAATGACCCTTATGACTGCTTCAATTTACCTCCCGGTTATAGTAAAGGATCTGGCCAATGGGTGACACAACGCAGGCAGTTCCAGCACCAAACATCTCCAATAACTAAAAAGGGAGGATTTAATACGTAGAGATAGGAAAATCAGGAAAAATCATGGAATTCCACCAATATGATGCACTCACCCGACCCTCATCAAGGGCTTTCTTGACATCGTGCATTGTGAACGACTTTTCGGAAACCTTGAACTCTCCCCATTCTCGTGCCAATTCGAGAAGTGAGTCACGGGTTACACCGGGCAGAATGAGACCTCGTTCTAGTGGTGGTGTAATCAACTCAATCTCTGAAATGGTTCCTTTTTAGTGAACTGCACTCACGTGACCTGCGTCACCTGAACAAAACTATCAAGTGACACCAGTCTTCAGTCTTTCTAATTATCTGCCTCTTCTGCAGCGGGCAACAACTGACAGTTACTACGTAACGTTCTACTACGTCATTGTTGTTATCACTAGAAACGTTGCAATCACCGCTGACCTGGCCGTTATCAACCAGGTAAACATTTTGAAATGACTTCTTCATTTACGGCAGTACTCACCTCCTTGTGCATTCTTCCAGTACACGAAAATGTTCATCGTTCCCACTTCCGTCACTTCTTCGTCTTCACCATGCAACCAGAGAACTTGCTGACAATTTCGTGCTGCAGCCTCTTTTCCTACCCAGATGGTTGGGGCATAATTGCTGAAAAACGAACTCTCGGGTCAACTATCACTTTCACTAGGGAAAAGAACATGAGCAGAATATCAATGATACGTACCATCCCATTTTGAAGGCACCAACACCTCCTGGGAAGGCTCTGACGTACTGAGGGTCTGCAAGAAGTCGGACAGGTTGGAATCCAGTCGAGTAGTATTGTCCAACTGGTCCCGTCAAGACAAACAGCTTGGCTTCTAGCGGAAAGCCGACTCCCAACGTAGGCTGAAAGGGGGCGAAGATTGAATGAGGCTTTTTCCTCGTCTCCGAAAACGATTAAAGCGAAAAGCAATTAGACAAATCGAGTAGATAACTCACATCGGTGCCGATGAGAGTAGGTCTAATGTATAGCGAAGACGTTGAAGAGTATGGGACCCATTCCTGATCAAGGGCGATCTGATCGCAAATAATCTTGATCAACTCTTCAGTATCGAAATCCTGAAGCAGACTTGTTAAGAAGATTACCAGAAGTCCAGGAGTTTCAAATCCCAATCCAGTTAACTAATTGGTCCCAATTAAAGCACTCGCTAAGATAGCCCACAGCCCTTCTAAAGAGTTCCCAGTAGTGCTGCTGTTTTGCTGATAACAGCGCAAAAAAAGAAGCACTTTCTAATTGCCATGGCCGCTGACGTGGGATGTTCATGTGATTGAAAAGAGAAAAGAGAGAAAGACAAAAAGAGAGGAAAAAAAGAGCAAAACGATGAACTTACTGGAAGAGCAGCTCGATGAGCTGTTCGCCGCATACGTGCCATATTTTTATCTGGGCGAAATAGTCGAATCTTATTATCCACTCCTCTGTATGCTTTCATACCCTCGAATAATTCGGTAGCATAATGGAGGACCTGAATGGCATTACTTAGTACAACTAGTAAAAGTTTACAGAGTACAGTTCGAGAACAAGGGGTGCCCAGCTGGTAATATGATTAGCAATTCAACCTGCCAGGAACGAGTCCTCAAAAACAAGCTATTAATATTAAGAAATATTGGAAATGTATATTGAAGGAATGAACCAAACTAAAATAAACATAGTTCTTTTCCCTTAGAAGTATGAAAAAAAAATAAAATTAGCTCAGCAGAAGCGCTCTTTAATATCTCCTTGACCTGTGTAAGAAATATCCCCAGGAACCAGAGAGCGATCAAAGCACGATCACAAAAAAAACTTATTAATGGCCAGTTGTACACAAAATAATGTAAAAGAAGCTCTCGTCGTTTTTGTGAAAAATAAAACGATCGATCACGTGAATTGAGGCTGTTCAGACCTACCGATAGGATTTTTAGATTGGAAAATCATAAATTAAAAAAATTGAGAAAATCAGTCTCTGAGAAATCGCCCCTTACATTTACGTTGTGAGATGCTAACTAAATAAGATTCGAGGAACAGTCCAGAGAAAGGCGAGTGAATGGGTGTCTAACGAGAAAATCACACCTCGACGGGTGAGGTATCCCAATGGGATCCCCGACAGCTATTGAAAGGCCCCCTTTCCCTTGGTGGAGTAATCCTCAGCGATGACATGCCCTTATTCTAACTGTTCCATGTTCCTCAGTTTCTCCATGGCCGTCGAACGAACTTAAACATTTAAGCGAAAAAATTATTTAAGATGAGTTCCGTTCAAGCAAAAACAATATAAAGAAGAAAGTTCGTGAAAAAATACCCCAAGCAATCATTCTTCAGCACTATCACTATGTACTCGGCCTTTTCGGACCACAATGTGAAAGACTATCTGTACAAAGGAGCCGATCTACCCGCCAGAGCTCTGTGGCCCTGAACCTAGACAAAAAGCCTGCACCGATGTGCCCTACTTGATTAGAATAGCGCCCATTTCTAATCAGAACAGAATACTGTACTCGGTGGACGGTGCGCTGTTCACACAGCATCAAGCTACATATAGCCCAAAAAGATTCAGTTTATTAGGTCAAAAAATTACCTTTGACCCTGGATGAATGCTAAGATTCCTTAGAGGTGTTATTTGTGGATGCGACCAGCCGTCACGTTCGCTCCAGTCGGCAAACGACATATGATCGGCATAATGATGACCAAATTTCAGTACATCATTCGGATCGGGTTTCGCACGTAACTCGCTTCCCGTCGCCGGAGTTATCACCAAGTCCTGGTGCTGTAATAGGAAATACATATTACTCATTCGATACATCAACTCCAACCATTATTTTTACACATACGAAAAAATCTCAAAAATTGAATATCTGAGCCTTTCAAAACCGTGGTACACTCCAGTCGGCGCGCTTAGTTCTAGCTTTCACGATATAACCTTAGGAGGGCACAAACGTTCACTCAAAACGACAGGAGCCAAAAACATTGGACCTTATCTTTGAGTTTCTTGGCTAAGACAAACGCGACAAAACCGAAAATTTCGCCGGATAATATGCTATTACACTTCAATATGGCTACAACATTAGAGAAAGAGAGACTTTTTGAAGCTTTTGGGGGCCTGCGTTCTGAAAATATTCAGAAGTTCAGCTTCCGCTGCCTTCTTGGGGATCATCGGGAGCTTTGCGGGCTTTGAATCACTTGATAGTTTCCAAGCTAGAAAGATCCGAACGCTCAACCAATTCCTCCCTTTACTCCCATGAAGTTTAAGTAAGCACTGTTCTCATGACCTGGGACATTTTAAAGTCCTGTGAATATGCCGGGTCATTATGGCGCGGTTCTGTAAAGAGTTGTAAAGGTCCGGTTCGCTACAAGTTCCATGCCACTTCTAGGCCCAAACGTGGCGGAATGGGGGTTGAGGGGGGGGGGGGGAGGAACGCAGCAGGGTGGCTACGTCTGTTCGGCTAGATTTGCCGCACCGTCACAGATCATCTGCGCCTGTGCTCCGAGAGATTAGTCAGAAAGGAAGAAAAACAGATGAAAGAAGAACTCTCAACAGGTAAGGCAGCTTACAGTGAGGTATGACCGTCATATAAGTAATACAGGACGTAGGCGCCACGACACATACGGTTTTTCGCCAAGTTCTGTATTAAGTCAACAACATAGGAATGCTAGCTAGTTTACACGTGTTGGAGGGTTCCTGTCTATCGGATACTCTCTCGCTGCGAAGTGCGGAGATATTTTCTCATCGCATTCTCTAGCCGAATGCTCGGCAGGAAAATAAGGAAGAGGGAGAGGGAAGGTCGGAAGGAAAAGGCAGAAAGAAGAAAAACAAAGGGAAGAAGGCTCCTGGTTGACAGATATCCCGTCACGGGTTGCACGGATGTCGCGCTTCGGATATTCATTTTTCATTTCGCCCGTTCCTCGGACGAACCTACATAGTTTTGTCACGGCTTGGGGCAAAGAAAGGATTTGCAGGACTTAACCGTGTTTCAGTACCGTACAAGTCTAGGGATCTCAGAGGTGGACGAGCTATGTGATTCGCCTGAGGCAGAGCTGAAACGAACCACTTTTACTTAGAGACAGTCCCCACAACATTAGTGGGCATCCTTCCTTGTTCAAGTACTCTGCTTCTTAGCCTCTATGATGGTCCCACTTTCGCAGCCCTACACTAAGTAACGAAAGCACTGTGGCTCTCATAAGTGACAGTTCTGACGCCTCCCTAGTTGTCCCGCCCACCAGAACTCAAATGCTATTCTAGCACAAGTATTCACACAAGCTACAAGTTCCACTTTGCAGAACTGTTCCACCTAATTGTCACTTCCCTTTGATTTGCAAAAAGGCCCAATACATACGATTAGGGTTGAAGTGTGTGTAGTAAATTGTCCATTCAATTGGCCGACAAATCATGAGAGAGTGTATGTGTTTATCAGTCGTTCGTTCCGTTACATCTTTGACCAGTGGACGGGTAGACGAAGAAAATCGCGCTATACGTCCAGTTTTTAGCGCGGGCGTCATCCGCACATGAGGCCCCCATATCAGTTTGTCACACGTACAGATCGACACAACGACAGACAGTCTCCCTATTCATTCAGTGCGCGTTTAATGAACACGTGAGTTGACAGTTATCGTCGATATTCACATAAAAACATTTAGCGACGACCGGAGAAAACAAAACGAAAAGGTCACTTTTCGCGGAAGATCATAGAACATTAGAAATAGAGGTAATCGATGGCACGAAAAGAACCACACATAATCGATGGCACGAAAATAACCAATGACGGAAGACTTACATAGAACGATTTATGTGGGTCACCGGCTGGTTTTAGATTTATCCGTTCACCGAGTTCCGGTGCTTGACTACTTGTAGCCATATATCTTGGCGCCACAATGGCAACACGAGTGCTTGCTTTCAATAGTTTGTTCATTATCTGAAATGGGTCGCAAAAACATCCAAAGTCTCACATAAAACATAACAAAAAAGTGAATAGACAAAAGAGCAGGCGAAATATTTGCAACAAAACAGTTTCACAAAACTAAGACAGTAAAAATTGAGAGTGAGGGTCCTGCAACAGATTCACTAGGATCTGAAATTTTCCAAAATTCAAGATGGATTTCAAAACGAATGAGAAAATAGAAAAAGTCCGTAATGTCAGTCCAACAGATGGCGGCATACAATAGCGTTTCGCGCTGAAACGACCAGGCGCGTATTAATAGCCCAACGCGGGTCAACGAAATGATATTTCGCAATAACTACAGATCGCTACCGTAACCGCGGATAGTTCAAGAAGTAAGAATAGTGAAGAGTGAGAATAGCGAAGTAACTGGGAGATATGTAGGTATAGAATACTGTAAGAGCGCAAACTGGGTACTTGGCCAACCACGAGGTGGCCGCGTGGTGATGGCAGGTGTGACTGGGCGCACCTGCAGACGTCTCAGTCGAACGGACCGTAGGTGAGGCGACGCCACCGAGCGGAGTCGCTCGGGTGGAGTGAGAATACCAGCCGGCTCCGCCCCCTCCCGTTGCGCTACAGCGGCGTCGACGACAGCGGTAGTGGCGTTGTCGGCGTGGCTCATGTCCAGGAACACGCGCTAGCCTAGGATCCATCAGCTACTACGCAGCAGGCGCGAACAGAGTGTGCATCAGAATGACGCAATCTGCACTCATAACAACAGCGCTAACCCTGCCTATCCCACGCGATATCGCCGGGGTCAGCCGTGTGACCTCTCACCAACGATGTGGACACGGGCCAACGAGCTCGCACCCAGAGTCAGTGAGCTCGAAAAACATCGGGTGCAACATTAAGAGATGATGTTCAACTAGCAGCAGCAGACGGTGTAATACTCATGAGGTCACAACCCGATCACACTCTCCTCCTTCTCTTACCTATGACGTCAACGAATCGCCGCAGCACACTACGCAAACAAACACACTCGCAAAATTACAGACAGCCAATCAACGACTAATGTATTGGTATTATTGGTACATAGTGAAGATAAAATGATGACGTAGCCAGAACTCAGCACGTGGGCCATTATTACAACATGATCAGTGGCCTGGCGTAATAAACAAGCGGCCAAACCGTCAATAAACTCAGCAAAAAAAGTTCAGTTCACGAGAGAAATACTGGGACCACACGGAAGTAATTGTACAGAGCAAGGAACATTTTATTTCCGTAACGACAGAAATGTAATTCATAAGGTCACAATTAATCGGGGCGGTGTGAAAAGGGGCGGAATGAGCCCGCCTCCGACTGTCTTGCTCTTCCAATAGTGATCGGTTGGTGATCAGTTTAGGAAGAGAACAATCAGTGTGGGAAACATCATGGGTATGCTCATTTTACCCATGGTAAAAGCGTCCCGACTGATGGTGACGATATCAACTATACGACTATGAACAAAAACGCAGTAACAAGTACATCGGTGAGTTCTGAATCCCTTGCAAGGATATCCGACAACTGTGAGAAAAAGAGTAGAGTAAAAGTAGTAGAAAAACTTTCAGAATTCTCTTCGATATTTGCTTAAATGACAAATGGCACAGTAAATCACCAAGTTGTTTGGGATTATCACGCCAAGCAGAACCGTATTGGGCGCTCCTGAGCGGGCGCCTTCTCCAAGGAAGGTGCCCTTATAGCGCCCTATTGAGCTGCGCCAACCCAGACGCCCATGCCCGCCCACCAAGGTCCGACGCATTCTAATGCTGCCATCGCTTCATTTCCGAAGTACAAAATGAATGAAAGGATTGACATGAAGCGGCTGCGGTGCCACAGAGATATGTGAGTACATACATGCAGCCGTATCTACCGTAGCAGTTGTTGGCACAATGCCAACAGGAAACACGTCCGAAACTGCTTGCTGAATCACGTAGAACAAAAACTTTTTTGCAGGTTTTTAATCGTTTCAGTTCGTTTTTTTTCGCCATTACCACAATATAGTATCCGAGCTACCATTTTAGACCGAGTACGAAACTATCCTACTTCATGCCTTTAAACTCGCCGTGAGTGCGCACTCATACACTTTCCCCAGAAACGTTTGAAACATGGTTATTGAAAAGGCTCTAGAGCCGCCACCATCAGGAACTCCGCCTATTTACTAGTCTATTATTTTTATTCGCAGAAATTTATAGATGAGCTCAAAGAAAACGAGATTTACCACTTAAGATTCTCATGAAAATGAGCGCACTATCTTTTATATCAAGGTGGATACCACCCTGTAACCTTAGGTTGGCGCTAGACAGCCTGCAATTTTTAGGGGAGGAGGGAGAGCCGGCGGTGTGTTTAGCACATGAGTTTGTGAAAAGTTGGCGCGTACAAGGAGCTCGTGGGCCCCGGAGCTGAATCGCAAGCCTCTCCAGCCCTGACGCGACTGAGAAATTGGTCAGGTCTGTGACTGTCCCTAGCGTCAAAGATGGCCTCGGTTTCATGACCACAAAACGGTCTGAAAAAAACTCTGCTGCAAGGGATCGCGATACAGCGGATGTGATTCAAAGATGATTTTCCAAAAGGAGACAAGATGTTTGGACAAGTGCCGTCGCGTCGCCTTCTCCATAACCGTGACTTCAGTTTGCGATCAGGAGAAACAGCTTCAAAAACCCTGACATGTTTTGATCGTTTCATTGAGAACCGGGTGAATCGGCAATTCGGCCATTTTGGAGAGCCCACGGCAAAAAGTAAATGGTGAATTCCCGCAAAGTTCATCAATTTCGTCACACTAAAGCATGATCAATTTGACCGATCAGCTACAGGTAGGTGAAACGTTACGGGCTTCGTCTGCACGCCATGTTTTTCGCTTTTTTAAGGACCAGACGCCCGTGCACGGATCTTC